TTCCTGCCCGCGGGCAGCGATAGCTGCGAGGAGGCAGGGCGAAGGAGTGGAGGCTGCTGCAGCCATCTGCCTTCCCCGCGCCCGGGGGGAGCAGCCCCGCAGGAGGCTCGGCGCAGGGGTCCCCCTCGCCCAAGGGTGATGCAGTCACCGCCTCTCGCCTCCCACCGCAGCGTCCTGCCAGCACCCTGCCTGAAAGCACGGGAGCACAGGCAGGAACAGCGATGCATGCCCCGAACGCCGTCCTTCCACATCTTCGGTGTGACAGCAAATGCCTCTCCTTACCGGGAATATTGCGGATCCCCAAGGGAACCTCTGGTGCACTTGTACCTCCTGGTCCATGCAGGACCACCAAGGGAGGCGAGGACAGCGCGGGTCTCCAGCCGATCTCACTGTCTGCACATTGCAGATGTATTTGCTACCGTCCCACAAGACCTTATCTCCCTCCATCCCAGCTGAGGAGCGTCACCCGCTCCTGGGGATGCCCTCCACCGCCCTGCTGCTGTGATGACTGCTCTTCCTAAAGCTTGTTTTCCATCAGATAACAAATACTCTTCCTTTTGCTCATCTGTGCTGTCATGTTGACAGTATTTATAGGCTGTGATCATATCTGTGCTTGATTCTCCTCTCAGTCTCTCACCATGTACCTTATCAGTTCTACTTATCATTCTAATGCACTTCTTGGTATTTTTCCTGGGGCTTCTTCAAGCACCATTCCTTACCTCTGAGGATGCAAACATATTTCATAGCTACGCTAAATCTCAGCTATAGGAAAAGCTTCACTGTTTACCTGCAATACACCCCTTGTCAAACTCTGATCTTCTTATAGCTAATCAGCTTACCCAACCAGGCTGGCGCTCAGACAAGAAACCTGCCTGGAAACCTTTGCAGAATTCAGTCATGGCAAGAGTTCAGCACAGATGAAAGCCTGAAACAGGGAAAACAAGACCCAGGCAGCAGGTTCCAGTGATCTCATTTCGAAATGAATTAAATCTGATCTCATTCTGAAACATGAACTCCTTCACTCCACGCCGTTTTGCTGCACACAACCATTTCATGTATTTCAACAATTACTGCAATTCACTTCAGATACCCCCTGCCCTGGTCCAACAGGTAAAATTATTTATGAATACATTGTGTGCAACCAGGTTCAAATCCCTGCGTGTAAGCAGTGGATGATTTGCACCTACTCACTTCTCAAGAAGAGATTTAAAGCAGTTTTGAAACCTGCTTGTGTGCAAGTCCATTACGATGCTCTGGACAGGACCCTCCGCTGAGGCAAACCACGGCCCCAGACCTCTAGCCCCTTCCTTCGTCTCTTCTGGAGGGAACTGGGAAGGAAACTATTACTTCTGCTGTCTGCTGCCCCTCTGGCCTCATCATTCATGCGGCAAGGAGAGAATGCACTTGGACAAGGGCTTTTCATGCTGGCAGAGTCAGTTTGACATTAACTTTTATGTTTTATACATAAATCAGTTTGAATGGCTTTCTTAGCAACTGGATCAAATTGCATTCGTTTACTGGAAACTATCACAAGACGTTCTCACTCACAACCTGAGGCTCTCCGCTTGTCATGCAGGTTTACTTCTGCACCACGCACGTCCTTCTCCCCGTCTACATCTGCTGAATCGGATCTCCTGACCCCCCGGAGCTCCCTGTCCTTCGGCTCAGCTCTCCTGCAGCCTCCAGGCCCATGCCGCAGCACACCTGACCGGGCTCAACATACACCTTCATCAAGGTTGTCAGCAGCTGTACCAAACAACCCTTGTTTCCTTGCACAAAATAATGCAGGTGTAGATCCTACCTTCTCTAAAACCTGGACTAATGCTCGTCTTACTGTTAACAACCGTTCCCTGCTGGAAAACTAGTTTCTGAACCATGATATTTTTACTTAAATGGGAAGCAATATATTTTCTTTATGTTTATGCATGGCACTATACCAACTGGCTTTCTGAAATCCAAGTGTACTATATCTAATTGCATAACCTTTAGCTGTTGCATCAGTAACTATGGCAAAGGCGGCTACTGAATTGGCTGGCTGGCCCTTACCAGTTGCAATAGTTTTGATTCTAGTCATAACTAACCAGATGCATTAGCAGTCTGGATTTCTTGTTCTCTGTGGATCAGTGAAATGACTCACAAATGTCTCCTGACCACTTCCAGCTCTTATGACTATGGGCTTCACACATACCAGCATTTTTTAGTTAACTGCAGGTCTATGACCTGTGATTTCTCTTTCCATCTTTACCCTAATTAGAGTTCATGCTTTGAAGGCTTTTGATAGTGTAACTATTCCACTCCTGATACAATCTAAATCCCTGCTGTTGCCGGAAGGGATGGCCCCACTCTCTCCTCTCCTGCCCGTGTCCCTAGCCAGGTTATCCCTTACCCATGTCACCACCAGCACTTATGCAGCTAGAGGCCCTTTGCCAGCAGGGCAAACTTTGATCAGCTCGGGAAGAAGAACTGCACCATTATACTGGATACCCATCTTGGGCCATAAAATACCATTTCTTTTAGTGGCAAGAGCAGTTGGAGCAGCCCCACTGTCTTGTACCCCACTGCTCTGCATCCCCGTCCCCATCCCCATCCCCGGCTAGCCCCGCGCACACACCTGCA